GTGGATGGCGGCTCATCGAAGGGACATAATGAGTGGGTGCCAGGTCATGGCCTTTATAATGCTTTAACTCTTCATCTGTACATCTGAGAAGACGTGTGATATTTCAGGGCTGGCCATTGAGGTGAAAACTGTGCACGAGTCCTACGGTCTGCCAATCAAAGTAAGGAATACATTCCGTAGAAAATAGCGTGTGAATTTTTGGATATAGTTTTGTGGGTGCATCTATTTCTTTCCACTCTTCAGCCACCTCAAGTTGTACCTTAGGAGGAGTAGGAATCTTCGGCTGAGTTAGTTCCGCGAAAGTTTTACTTTTCAAAAAGCATAGATATTTTTGACCACTTTGGCTTGGGGCATCCATTTCTGGCATGTTGTAAGAGAAAGCCCTCATTCAAAGTATTAATACACTCAAAAATAAGCCACGCCTTTTATTTGGATCCGATTCCATAGCTTTCACCTGCATAAAGAAATGATATACTATAACAGGAAAGTTGTAGATGCAATGAAACGGTTTTATAAGTGCAATCATCATTAGTTATAATCCACAGTGTTTAGTTCACGAATAAAGCAAATGCCATGCATTAAATTTAATTGTAAGAAAGAAATGCATTACATAAAAAATAAAAGCAAGCACTTAAGCAGGCATTGTAGTGATTCATTCATTTGAGAACTAGAGGTTAGCATACTTCTTGAGGATAAGGAGGTTGGGGAAAGAGTCGCCCGTAATCATAAACAATACCATCTTCATGGTGTCGTAATTTAGCAAAAGAACAGTTCCCCACACTAAATGGCAAGCCGTAATGTAGAAGAATAGGCTCAACACCCAGTTGTGGAGTATATCCCGGGTAGATCATCAAGTCATCGTTGATCTTATGTCTAAGTCCAACCTGAAAAACAAAGAACATTACCATAAACAAAGATTGATATAGAGATATCACGAACAGCACAGCTGACAGAGAAAAATCTTTTTTTCTTGATATGTGGGGTAAATTAGTCAAAATAACGTACTTCTGCTGCACCAAATGAGTAACCGTACATCTCACTAGTCCAGCCTGCTCCATAGATGTCACCAGTTATATTAGTAACCCAATGAGCTCGGTCTTCACGTACTTCTTCAGTTTTGGAAAGCCACAAAGGTGCCAGAGCTTGAAGATCATCTATGTGCATGGCTAAAAGGCCACCAACCTTTTCACAAAGTTCCGGGTGCTTCATGTGCAATTTCGCCAGAATATTATCACATCCTATCAAGTACCTGAAATACAAAACAATTACAAATATCTAAAGTTAGAACATAGAAAAATGAATGTTGAAGCAGTGTCGCAAATACAATCCTCTGGTTCGGCTTACTTAGGCATAAACAAATGAAAAGTTTAGTACCCGTAACAAGAAGCAACAGGCCTGCCTCGCTCCGTGCCAAGTTCCCAATGTATAATTGGACCTCGAAGGATCATGTCCGCATCCAAAATTACTAACCAGTCAACATTCTGTGCATCTTTACTGTGTTTTAGCCAGTGGACAACTTCAGCAGGCTTGTTGATAGCAGGATACCTGCAGACTTAAAAGAAGAAAATGTCTGTTATTCTGCCTGTAAGTTCTTCCATGGCTCAAACCGAAAATACTCTAGAAGCTTCTTTGATTCAAATCAAGTGAAAATTCGGAAAAGCGATGGAATCCATAATCCACTCGTTACTCCATACAAAGACATAATTGAATCAAAAGCAATATATGCTAGAAGGAATGTTAAGTAAACATGAAACATTGGAAGATATTTATCACTCTTGAAGATTTAAACATATGAAAACAAGACAAAATTCACTACAACATTATCTCATACACAACATATATTTAGTTTCAATTAGTGTAAGGAAAATAAGAACAAAAACATACTAATCCAACAAGATTCAATCTCTAATTTGATTCATCAAAATGTCTTAAAATTTCAAGACTTTATATCAAACACCAGGTTAGCATCAATTAAAAGAAAGTGTGATCAAATGTCAAAACCCTAACTTAAACAAAGAGGAAAAAATGCTAGCGGGGGGGATAAAAGGCAGAAACTTTTACCAATCACCAGTTTTTGGATGTCTACTCTTAGAGGGGACTTCAAGAGTGGGAGCCAAATGCATCCCTTTATAATTCATTTTCTCCTCCTCCGTACAGCTGAGTAGCCGGGTCACTGGTCCGGGTTGCCGGGCTTTCCTGAAGCTATGCATGAATCCAACCGTTTGCCAATCGAAGTTCTGGCATTCCACGGAGAACAAAGTGTGGATCCTATATGGGGCCTGAAATCCGGTTTTTGACCCGAAAGGAACCACCCAAAAAACTCAGTGATATGATGAAAGCTAAGAATCTAGCCATTGGAGGCGTGAATCTGAGATTTACGTTTTCATAATTGTTTTTCATTTTTTAAGAAAGTAATAAAAATCCAAATTAAGATCTCCACTTTTCAAAATAACAAATTGTACTCAAATTAAGTATATAAAATTATTTGATATATTACTAAAGTTATGTACTTAATTTTTGATAAACAGTAAGTCTTGGGTTTTTAAAACTCCTATTTCACGGTTTCACCTTTATTAAGGTAATGCATTATCGGTTTTTTATTTTTGAAATAATAATGCTTTCAAAATGAAAATTTCCACATTGACCTCGAATTAATTTAAGGGTAAAATAGAGTAACGGTCATTAAAATTTTTTAAAGCTTTTATTTAGGTCCCTCAACTTTTAAAACTTGCAATACAATCCCCTAAAATTTAATCTGTTTGCAATATGGTCTCCCAACATTTAGTTTATTTGCAATATGGTCTCTGACCGTTTGACGTCGTTACATTGCTGTTAGTACATTTGCAATATGGTCACTAAACTTTTCAGGCACTTACATTTAGGTCCCTCAACTTTTAAAACTTGCAACACAGTCCTAAATTTCATTCTAAACCCTAAATTCCTTTTCGATCTCGATTTTCCTTCTTCGTTTATCTCTTCTCATTTCCAACGTAACTTTTCAGTTGAAGATGCATGGGAAATTCTAATCTAACTTTGAATTATGTGGAGGTGTTGACTTGAATAAGGGTTCATTGAGAGAATACCCGACCAAGAGACTATCGGGACCATCAACGATTCAAGGTGTAATGTCAGATACAGGTCATCTCAGGTGAAGCATGGATGTTTGATGAAATGCTTGTGAGAAAAAAATGGGGTTAGAAATGCAGAGTTGACAAATACTACTAAGATGAAGTAAGTATCATTGTTGAAAGTCACCAACAAAGCTGAAATTATTTTATACAAATGACATATAATAATTTCTTCGTTTAATCCTTGTGCTTAAAGATTTTCCAACGGATGATCAAATATAATGAAATCTCAAACAACACATTCACCTCTCAGTTTCTTTCGCAACTCGAAAGGCATTATGACAGGGTCAAATAACTGCTCTAAATATACTATGTCATGATGTCATTCTAGTTGCATGCATGCAAAATTGTCTTCTAAAGTTCTAGTACCATCAGTCTCTCGGATTGAGTCTGGCGATTTCTCTATGTCGATACTCACAAACATTTCCTGATTTAAAGAAAAACCAAACAAGAATATCAAAAAAAAAAAATAGCATGTGACCCTATTTTACTTCTATTCTGATTGACTGAATATCTTTCATAAGAAGTACTAAAGGTTTTGATTAAGAAGAAAGAAAAAAAAAGAAAATTAGATGGTTTTGGTTCAAAACTAACACTGAATATCCATATCATTGACATGCAGTTCCAGAAACATAAAAATTTCAACAAAAAACACACAATGCAAGCTGAAAATGGGAAAGTGCGAAAGAGGAAAAGCTTATTTCCGGATAGCCCAAAAGAGAAAATAAATATCTTCTTGCAAGTGAAGGGAGAATCTAAGAAATAAACGCAATCGGTGTTGCGTTCAAACAATTCTTCCTCCATTTTTTCTTTGTAAATAAAAAGCTAAAAGACAGAGCACTACATGGATTTACAATTTTACATGGCGAAAAATTGAAGAACAAAAACCAAACGAGAGGTGAATGCACTGTTTGGGATTTCATTATATTTGATTATCTGTTGGAAAATCTTTAAGTACAAGGATTAAACGAATAAATTATTATATGTCATTTATACAAAATAATTCCAGCTTTGTTGGTAACTTTCAACAATGATACTTAGTTCATCTTAGTAATATTTGTCAACTCTGCATTTCTAACCCCATTTTTTTCTCACAAGCATTTCATCGAACATCTATGCTTCACCTGAGATGACTTGTATCTAACATTACACCTTGAATCGTTGATGGTCCCGATAGTCCCTTGGTCGGGTCTTCTCTCAATGGACCCTTATTCAAGTCAACACCTCCACATAATTCAAAGTTAGATTAGAATTTCCCATGCATCCTTGACTGAAAAGTTACGCTGGAAATGAGAGAAGAGAAGCGAAAAAGGAAATTTGAGATCGAAAAGGAATTTGGGGTTTAGAATGAAATTTAAGACTATGTTTCAAGTTTTAAAAGTTGGGAGACCTAAATGCAAGCGCATGAAAAATTCAGTGACCATATTGCAAACATACTAACAGTAGTGTAACAACGTCAAACAATCAGGGACCATTTTACAAATTGACTAAATGTTGGGGGACTATTTTTGCAAATTGACTAAATGTTAAGATTATATTGCAAGTTTTAAAAGTTAAAGGACCTAAATGAAAGCTTTAAAAAAATTCAGTGACCATTACTATATTGTACCCTTAATTTAATAATGATTTCTCCTAACAATAACCATACGTTTATTTTTTACAATTAATAAAATAATAATACGAATATTTATATTATTAATTTAATTTTTATAATTAAGAAATTATAATATCTTAATGGTATTATTACTAATAAATAAAATTTCTTTTAAATTTGATTTTTTTTGGTTCAAAAGATAAACATACACATATATCAGTTCATGCTATTTGATGAGTATAAGATAAACTATTCAAAGGTTAATGGGAATCAATATATGAAAAAACTTCTGAAAATTGAACATTTTCATATCGGACGAACCCAAGCCAATAAAATAGGAGCAAAAACAGCACAGTATAATCATCAGCCAAGTTTCAAAATTTCAAAGCCAAACAGTAAAACATTTCCTAAACCAATAGTTTTATTATACTCACACGGACGCAATGCAAAGCAATCCATTAAAAAACCCGGAAAACAATGGCGATTATCGCAAAGCGAAGCTCTTTTAGGTAAGATCATCTTCTTCCAGTTCTTTAGCTTTCAGCCTTTCCTTCACTCGAAGTAAAAGGGTAGTCTTCCAAGAATCCTGCATAGCATCATACAGAAACGGCAAGCACATTAGAATTGTATTTTTAGGAGTCAGAACCCGAATCGAATGCTGCCCCTAGACCACTCCAGCCAGACAACTGGTTCATCCAAAGACAAGGCAATAGTATTGGAGATCAACGTACCAATGGGGTCATGCTATCAAATTCCTTGACCACTTCTGTAAACTTCGTGACATCTTCCTCGTCAAGAGCAGAAGCAATGTCCTGTCACAGAAAGCATGAGTTCATTAGGATCATCAGCTAAAGGAAATGTATATTGGAATATATTATCGGCTAAAGCACATTAAGGATAGAAAGATGGAAGAGTAAAATGAATGGAAAAAGTGCAATCACCAATGAAGCATCTTTAAGCAAGAGCCAAATGAACTAAAAAATCCCAGTAACACCTTTAGTGCTAGAAAAAATAAATTACATGAAAGAATAAGCTGTTTCTAATGATAACTTACAGCCAATAATCTGTACTCTCGTGTTCCAGAGAAAGTTGGATCCAGATCCTGAAGAAAGCAAATGAAAATACAAGTTTAACATAACCAATTTACGTTAAAAGGTTAATGAGTTACAATGCAAAATGAGGCAAAATTTCAACCTGATACCGCTCTAATGCATTGGTGATTGCTACAACATCACTTTTGCAGAGTTGACAAATGCCAGCATTAAGAAGATGCCCTTTAACTCCATACTTCAGCAAGTTATTGGTGAGTGATTGCCGTGCTATCTCTTCATAGATCCCAATGGCTTTCTGGTATCTGGAAAGTAGATTTTTGCATGAGAGCAAACATTTATTCAATGGTGTTAGTGTTAGCAAAGTAAGATGGAAAAAAAGCGTTGCAAGAACAATGTCAAGAAGATGTAAGTATGCTCACTGTTCTCTCTGAGCAGCAAACTGTGCAACTTTCAGCTTGCATTGATTGGCAGAAGAAGATACTTCTTCGTTTTGGAAGAACTCAGCAGCCTTCTCAAAATAATCCATGGCCTGCTCCATGTTCTGTTCAGAATCGTATAATTCAGCAATTTCCTGCAAGAAAAAGAAGCACTCGTGTTTATAAATAACTGTAAGAAACGTCATCATGCTAAGCTATGGTTGAGGATGCTGTAAGAAACAATAACAATACTACTAAACAACAAATCTTAGAAGGTTAAACACTTGTGGAGACACTGTTAATGAAGATCAAGGGAAGAACAGAAACCAAATAAAAAGAATGAAAACGAAAAATGATCATTCCAAATTTCTGCTCAACTGAACTGAAGTAATCAATAATCGATAAAATATAAAATCTCTTTTAGTCACTTCATACCTTATAATACCTTGCAGCCATGCTTAGCCTCCCAATATCACAAAACAAGTTCACTGCTTGCTGAAAGCAAGATATAGCCTCTGTATAGGAACAAAATCTAGTCAGGCGTATATACAATAAAACCTTGACGAAGGATTCGGACCGAGTGAAACCGTGCAATCTACACTAACCCTTTGTAGATGTTTTCTTATAGCACTGAGCAGCACTAACATAAGCTTGAGCTGCTTCATGTTTGCTTTCTGACTACAGATCATTAAAAAAAACAAGAGTAAAATTAAATCTCAGAAGATAATTAAGTTACTTAGAAGCAAGAACCGGATGCTATTACTCCGAACTGCTTACTTTCAAGTGGCAATTCACCAGTTTTACATAAGTTGATCCCGCTTTGTCCCCTTGAGAAAAGAAAAATGTGAAGAGATAAAAAAAATACAACTTTTTTTTACAAGATCACTGTACTTAAACGTAATTAATCAATAATCTGATCATAGAAAAGAAAACCCTAAATTTCAAATTTACTAACTGAACCGAAACAACTAAATTGGTTATTGACGAAAACAGAACTAAAAAGCTACAATAATCAGTGAAGTAAAACAAAAAATAACCAATCAATATTCAAGGAAATGAAGATTAAAGGAAATCCCAAGTTGAAGGAATTAGGAAGATTGAGAATAACAACCCAAAAAATACTCAAGAAAACGAACATAAACTGATAAGAAAAAAAAGATTGCAAAGTACAGGATTTGGCAAGCTTGAAGCAATTGGCGGCTTTATCAAATAAATCGGCGGCGTCTTCATATTTAGAACCAAACAAGCCCCAGCTCTTCAGCTTTTTCTCAGCCTTTTTCACGAATTCTTCTCCTTTCGCTAATTGATCTCCCATTGTTTTTCTCTACTATTTTCCTTGTTTGATTTGACGGAAACCAATTGAGAGTATTAACGAGTCTTTCTTAAGCTTTAAGGGCCTGAGGCTGAGAAGACCATGTCTTCCATCGCATTATTTATTTGGTTAAATTACAAATTTCATCACTGAACTATAATCTTTATCCTATTTTTCTCACTGAACTTTAAAAATTTTCAATTTTTTCATTGAACTTTATTAATTGTTTTTTTGTCACTGAATCTTATTTTCTCCCCTATTTTGGTCACTCCGCTATTAAATAGTTAATGGCGTTAAAAATTAAATCATTTTAAAAAACAAAATTTTAAAAAAACGATTGAACTATAATCTATATAACAACTCATTTTAACGTCGTTAATTATTTAATGACCGAGTGACCAAATAAATCCAATATATTAAGTTTATTAAGAAAATTAAAAATATTTAAAGTACAGTGTGTAAAATATATGAAATAAAGAAAGTTCAATTACAAATTTATAATTTACCTTATTTATTATTTATTTGATTTTTTATATATATATATATATATATATATTATTTTCAATTAAATTGTATAAAAGGTTTTCATATTTATATTTTTATTAATATAGGGTACTTTACAAGCGGTAGTATATGTTCTAAAGATTTTCAATCATTTGACAATGAAAACTCAAATATCCTGTAGTCTCTGGTATTATAACATGATACTTCTAAGAATGACAACTATTTATTTAATCACTAAAATAATTTGATTCATGTTTATTTTTTTTTATAAATTTAGAGTTTATATTATAAGTTGATTATTTCTAAAACTTTAATATATATATATATATATATATATATATATATATTATTTTTCATGTTGGTTTCGATAAATAATCCAACATGTTACAAATTTTTAAAAAAATAAGTTATATCATTTCTCACTTTATTTTATTCTCTCTTATTTTATTAACTGTACTTTTATTTTTTCTAATTTACTAAGAAAACTTACAAATTGCTTCTATATTTGGTCACTATGAAGTAATTTATCATTATTCTTGTATGATGTGGCATTTATTATTATTATTTGAAATATAAATGTAACACCCTAGATCCCGGGTTAGGAGTTTTGGGCTAACTCAAGATGGGCCTTATTTCTAGCTTGTAGGAGGTTTAACCCAAATTGAAGGATTTCGGTTTGACTTAAGCCCAATATAGACTAAAAAGGAGTATTTTTAGTTGTAATTAAAATCAGGAGGACTCAGACTGTAATTAGACCGTTGTTTAAAACAAAGGTTGATCTCCATTTATGAAATAGCGATCTCACGTCTGATTCCATACTACTATTTTCTTCACCTTTATCTTCATTTCGTCAAGCTTCCTTCTCCTTTATCTTCTTCCTTAGTTTTCCAAGTAAAATGTGAAATATTTTTAGAATTTCAGACTCTATTCAGCATCCTCAAGGTAAGAAACTTAATCTAATCATCTCAAGCTTCAATTCAATCATTCCTTTATAAAGTTTGGCCATGGTAACCAAAAACAGCTTTATGGGGGTGTATCAACATATGGATTTCAAATCGTTTCTAGAGATTTGTAAGCTTAGGAAATGTTTGTAAAGCTTCATAAACCTCAATATCCAACTAGTTACCCTCATTCTTTGATTTTTGCTTAGTGAGAGAGGTTGGAGAGAGCTCTCAAGCTAGAGGAAATGAGAAGCTTACTTTGGGTTGAGCTTTGAGAACCCCCAACAGTCTAAACACTCAGGTAACTCGCTCTTAACTCATTTACACCATATATATTCATCTAGGTGAGATTTGGTAAGTTGCATAAGCTTGAAGCATTTATGGTAGATTGTATCATTTAAGTATTTTCATCATGTTTACAGACCCATTACAACCTCTATTATCACATAAAATAGCTAAACATCAGTTAGGGACCTCAATGAGAAATTTAGGTATGGAAAGATGGGATTTTCATGCCTAAACAAAGCACTTAGCAGCGACGGTATCGATACTGTTCTTCATCCATATATAAATTAGACAGTTTTATAAGGTAATATCGATACTTATTCATTGAGTATCGATACCAGGCCAAGAATATTGATATTTTGCATAGGGGTATCGATACTAGGTATTTTTCAAAACATCAAACCAATATTTGGTATCGATACTCGGTCAAGTATCAATACCCCAACACCTTAGTATCGATACTCATATGAGGGTATCGATACTGCCTTGATCCAAAAACCACGTCATCCAAGGGTTATCGATACCAACAGGTGGGTATCGATACCAAAGGTCTAATATCGATATTGAAGGGTCAGTATCGGTACGCACGAACAAATTTGGATAAATAATCCAAGGATTTAGGGATAAGTCCCGAGGTTCCCTAAATACACTATAATAATAGCAAATAAGACTTCAAGTGAGAACATAAATTAATAGCATAATAGTAGAAACAATAAAAGTTGGGTTTACATAAAACTAACCTTGTTTGATGCTCGGAAAATAGCCAGGACACCCGAGTTCCTTCTAGCAAAATACAGTAGTCAATGGATTCGAGTCAGTGCCATGCACTCTAGTGGCTAATTGGGCGCAGATGTCCCAAGACTCGACAGAGTAAGTTGGCGAGTGTACATTTTCGATGCAAAATTTCGGATTTCACCCTAGGTGTACCCATGGGTATATCGACAATGCTAGAAGGGTGCGCAAACTCCGAGATGTAGAATCCCTCAGCCATACCCTAATGTCAGCCACAAATTTGTAGTTTAGTAGTTGTATGCTCAGAACTGTGACACCTTCCATTTCATTTAGTGAATGCATGTAGTATAACACAGTTATTAGTGAGGCACTGAGCTCTTAAGCTCAACATTCGAAATATGCTTTTGTGAGCAAGTTTTTAGGGGCTATTCATGGGGAGTTATCGTCACCAGATATTCCAGTGCAACAGACCAGATTCTCAAAAACCTTCAAAGTATGTCTTGAGTCATCTTTAAAGGGCATGTACTGTATATAGAACCTTACGTATATTCATTTGTAACTTGATTTGTATTTGATATTATATTATTTTGAAATATGATTTGTGAGTTCCCCATCATTTTGTAGACCCAGATTATCTTGTTTTATTTTAATTAATATGGATGGTTTATTTTCAGTGATTATAACAGTTTTAAAAGAAAATTTTTTGATTATTATTTTGGTAGTCCCGTGTAATATTGTAATCCATTGACCTTTGGGTCGAACTAGATTAGGGTGTTACATTTAGTGGTATTAGAGCATCCATGTTTAGATGTTCCTAGGACCCACGAGTTAGAGTCAGTCAGTATCTGTATATGTATATGCCTCTAGGGAGCCAAGAGTACTATAACAATTGGAATGACGATAATGGCCTCCTTTCTCTTTTTAATTTTATATAGAACCCATGACAGACGATTCAGTCCATAGTCAGGAGGGCAGAGACGAGAGTCATGCCTTACTAGCAGCAAATTTCGGTGACAAGTTCGTCCCGATACAATTCAAAGGTAGGCACCAATAGATCGGGGGTCGAGGATGCGACCTTTTTCAAGGACCTCACCTCTGTATTTAAACAAATAGCTAAGCCTCTCCCTAGTATTTCAGTTGCACTACCTCCCCCACCAGCACCTCCAGCTCATCTAGTGGTTATTTTTCATGAGTCCTCAATAGAGTGACTTCGCATGTATAAGACCACTGAGTTATTTGGTTCAGAGGATAAGGATCCGATAGAGCAAACCAATGGCTTAGAGAGACGTTCTAGACCCTTGGATAATTACATCTTACCCCAGCGGGTAACCTAGAGTGCATCACCTCCCTACTTAAGGGTGACGCAATAGATTAGTAGGAGACTTTCGAGATGGCAATAGAGCTAGAGATGTCGACTTGAGAGCAACTTCTCACCGAGTTCAGAGAGAAGCACATCGGGCAGATCCACATCGATGACATGATGAAGCAGTTCTTACACTTAACTCAGGGTGATCGCTCAATGTTAGAGTATAAGCGAGAGTTTCTCAGGCTTAGCAAATATGCGACGGAGTTATTACCGAATGAGGAGCATCGTTGTTACCGACTCATAGAGGGCCTTCGTGGTGATATATTGACCCACTTAGGGATGAGTATGGGACCCGAACCCAACGGGTTCTGACACGATCAGGTCAGGTTGGGTTTTTAAAAAAAAAATCAGATTCGAGTCGGGTCGAGTTTTTTAAAGGTGGTGTTTGGGTCGGGTCAGATTCAGGTTTAGGGTAAAAAATACCCGATTTACCTGACCTGAAAATATAATTTTACCTTATATATTTAGGAATAATTATAATAATACCCCTCTATATATTATTTTTCAATTAAATCATTGTTTTTATTGAATAAAAATAATATTTTTTATTATTTTAGGTTGGGTCGGGTTGGGTTTGGATTTTATTTCAAAAAGTCGGGTCGGGGGGAGGGTATATATTATGAGGGTCGGGTCAGATTTCGAGTAGATGATTTATTGTTCTCGGGTCGGCTCTGGTGGACCAAAAATCTGACCCAGCCTTACCAATACCCATCCCTAGACCCACCTTGCAGCTGATCCTCCTAGGGTCTTCGCTCAACTGACCCGCCAGGAAAATACGGTTGAGAGGGTTTTGGAGAGACATGTTAGACAGTCTAGTGAGGTTAGAAGATCGGTTAGGAAAGCCACTGAGTCAACGAGACCTTCTTAGACTCCGACGAAGAGGGACAGAGATAGTCAGGGTTCTTCGAGGCATCTAGTATCTTAGTCCAGGAAGACCGGACAGAGTTCGAGTCATGGAGGTAGATTTGACTCGAGGATGAGACCATTAGACATAGCTTCGATAAGTGTTGCCAGTGAGTCGTCTAGAGGATACACATATACCACATGTACTCGGTGCAACAAGAGACATCCGGGAACATGTCAGCTGGTATTTGAAGGCTGCTACAGTTGCGACTCCATGGATCATTTTGCCAGAGACTGCCTAAGAGCTCAGGGTGTAGCATCAACAACGACTGAACGATTGGTATTATCAGTACAGAAAGGTCGATAGCTAGCTAAAAGTGGCAGTATAGTGTCTGAGCAGCAAAACCAAGGGATAACTAGATCGGTGACCGATGTAGAGCCTAGAATAGCCTCCAGACAGTACGCGGTATGAGCCCGAGAGGAGGTTGACACATCAGATATCATATCAGGTACCTTTACAGTCTTTTCCTTACCAGTTACTACATTAATAGACCCTGATTCCACCCACTCTTACATCTGCTCTGACCTAGTTCAAGAAATAAAAACACCAATAGAGAATCTCAAGATAGGTGTTTGGGTAACAAGCCCGTTAGGTCTAGATGTCCTTGTGGACAAAATCTTCAAACACTGCCTAGTGAGAATTCAGGCTCAGATCTTTCCAACAGATTTGATGGAGTTACCCTTTAGGGAGTTTGACGTAATATTAGGGATGGATTGGCTAACCGAGCATAATGTCAGTTTAAGGTGCAAAGCTAGGCGGCTTAAACTCAGGACAATTTATGGGACCAAGTTTGTAATGACCAGCAGGAGATCCTTCCAGAGAATGATAGTTTCGGCTTTGAAAGCCCAAAGGATGATCAACCGTGGGTGTAAGGCCTTTTTGGCTCACGTGGTTGACATCTGAACCTCAGTCCTTACACTCGAGGATATTCGAGTAATACCATATTTTTTGACGTATTTTCAGAGGAGTTACCAGGTTTGCTACTTGAGCGTGAGTTGGAGTTTGGCATTGAAGTAATGTCGGGTTCGGCTCCGGTGTTCATTGCTCCTCCCTTTTGCATGGCACCGACATAACTGAAGGAGTTAAAGACTCAGATTTAGGAGTTACTAGAGAAGATTTTCATTCAACCGAGCATATCTCCTAAGGGAGCTCCAATCTTGTTTGTTAAGAATAATAATGGGTCGAAAATGCTGTGCATCGACTACAGACAGTTGAATAAGTTAACCATAAAAAACCGTTACCCACTTTCTAAGATAGACGATCTCTTCGACTAGCTGAGAAGAGCTTGTGTCTTTTCCAAGATTAATTTACGGTCATGCTACTATAAGTTAAAAGTCAATGATGCAGATATGGTGAAGACATCTTTCAGGACAAGGTACGGTCATTATGAGTTCATAGTAATGTCGTTTGGACTCACCAATGCTCCAGGGCGTTCATAGACCTAATGAATCGAGTTTTCCACCCATACTTGGATCAGTTTGAGGTGGTATTTATAGATGACATTCTGGTGTATTCCCAATCAGAGGACATCACTATCGATGATCGTAGATAGTGGTTGTTCGGTCTCATATTTCATCGTTCACTTCGTCTCGACCCCTTAGTCAGAATTCAACCTTCATTTTTTAGTAACAACTATAATTTTAAGTGTTGATAAGAATATAATCTATATTTCTATATTAAAATAATAATAAAATATTTAAATATATTTTATGTTAAGATATTTTAAAAAATATTTTTAAAAATTAAGATAAGAACAAAATATAATTTTAAGTAAAGATGAAGATAAAATATATATATTTGTACATTAAAAAATAAAATATATTTAGTAATTTAAGACAAAAATAAAATATATTTTTAAAATTTAAGATATATAAAATATTATTAATTTTGAGTAAAGCCATTTATATACTAGGATACAAGATATATATTATTAATTGTCTAAAATAGTCTAAATGGTTGCTTTGGCTCAATGGTTTGACGCTTGTTTCATCAACGGATTCTAAATGCAATTCCCTTTGTGGATTTATTTTCTTTCAATCAAAGGGTGACACATGTCACTCTTTGATTAGTAAAAAATAAATCTCTTAAATTAAAAATAAATTAAAATAAATTTAGTCTTTTAATCGAATGATAACACATGACATCTCCTGATTTGAAAATTAAATTTATTTTAACTTATTAAAATTAGGACTAAATTAAAAGAATATATAAGTAACAAAGATCAATTGTGTAATTATACCAAAATGTTTGATTGTCACATCATCTATTCCATTAAATGTTAGGCTTAATACAAAAATAAATGCTGAAACTTTGCCTCGAAGAATATTTTAGCGCATAAAGAATTTTTCGTTAAAATTAGATGCATAATGTTTCTAACCTTATTACTTTTAGGTGTCTGCCATTAAAAATCATCGTTAAGTGAGACATGTCATTTTCTGGTAATTTTAAAAATTTATTTAAAAATAAAAAATATTTTAAAAACCTCATCTAGCAGCGCATAAGAAAGGGCTTAATATAAAAAAAGTGTTTAAAATATACTCAAAATTAACTTTTGGTGCCTAAAGAATTTTTCGCTAAAAATAGGTATTTAAAGTTTTATCCGTTATACTTTTAGGTGTCTAGCGTTAAAAAACCGTTAAGTGACACATGTTACGTCCATATTTTTTAAAAAAATATTTTTAAAAAATATTTTATTTTAAAAAAATTCTAGACTTGGCAAGTGCACTTAAAGGTTTATTTTAACTGTATGCAATTAAAAGTGTAAAAGAGAAAACTTTAGACACCTATTTTTAGCGAAAAATTCTTTAGGCACTAAAATATTTTTCGAGGCATTCTTTACGCATTTATTTTTGTATTAAGCCAAAAAAAAAAACCTTCTCCCCGTGCCTTCTCCTCTCCCCCACTTCCCTCTTCTATATCAGCCGGCATTGACCATCACCGCCACTATCATCGGCACCGACGTCGACCCCTGATCAAACCCTGTTGACCTTTCATTGTAACATGCCACCGTTTACCGTAGATAAATATTCAAAGGTTCGTTGTTATTTAAACAACTATTGATGTTCTTCGTCAATTCCGACCGGTTTCGACGTCCATAAGCCACACCCTGCCATCCACCGTGCAATTTCGATCAAAACCCAATCATTCGACGACAACGATGGTAGTCGAAGATGGTTGACAACCGTTTTAGGGGTTTTTATATTTTTAGTAAAAAGTTGGGTTTTTTAAATAAATTGATTTTTTTAATTAAAAATTATATTTTTACTATTGAAAAATTAAAAATTAAACGGTAGACACCTAAAAGTATAACTGAGAAAATATTATGCACATATTTTTAGTGAATTTTTTTAAACACAAAAACGTTTTTCGAGGTAAAATTTGAGTACTTATTTTTTTTAAACCTAAATGTTACAAGTATGTGATTTGATTAAAACATTTAAATAGTTGAGTAATCTGATTGATTACATCGAAAAGTCAAGGTCAAAATGAAATCACAATAGTTGAATAATAACGTAATTTACCCTAAATTTTTTTATAATAACCTTGTATTTCAAAATTTTCAGAAAAACGCTTTTGTCTTTTATACCTTCAAGACATAATTGAATTTCAGATAAACCCTTTTGTTCTTTTATATCTTGAAGACATAATAGTAAAATCTGTCCTTACTGTTTCATTGATTTTTCATTCTCATTCTTATCTTTTTTTTACGATGTCAATCTTATTGTTTCAAAATTTCCAAATAAACCATTTTTATTCTTTATATTCTCAAGGTATGGTAACAAAATTAGTCCTCAATATTTTATTATTTTTTAAACATCAACCTCGTTATTTCAAAAAATTTTAAATAACCCTTTGCTATAACCGGGTACATCAGATTTGAACGTCCGACCAGAGTCTTGTACAGGTAACATCAGATTCGAACATGATATTCATTATTAGTATTCAGATTTAGACAATCTAATGGAAACATGTACAAGTCACTAAACACATAAAAGGAACAATTAAGTTGAAAAAACATCGCATTTTCTCGGTCCACAAGAAAAGGGAAGCAACAGTAATATCGAGATGGAAAGTAAATCACTTGTTTCGACACACGATATTATTGAGTTCCCAATCCCTATTTTGTCTGGAGAACAAGTCGAGTCCAGAAGCTAAACCACATGGATGCTCCTCAAAAGAATACTTACGTTATTCAAGCCTCCAAGAAAATCGAGCAACACAAAGATCTTGATAAGAACTAGAGTAACTGTCTCGGGTAATCAGAGGTCTTTCAATGGCTTCGTTTTAGATGGATCCCGGCTGAGTCCATGCTTCAATGATTTGATATAATTTCTCATGAGGGTAAACTTGTTGCTCCCAAGATTATAGTAGTCCCAAGAATATATCCCGGTTCTATGCAAATCATCGAAAACTAACCTGAACCGTCCACCCGAAAATAACACAAGTATCAATAAACGAGGGAAATCACATTCAATCCAACCACACGAAAACTCTATCAAGTAAGATGATCGAACAAATAACTTAGAAAAGCTACCTTACCCCATAGTTTCCTACAGGTTCGGCAGACATTATACCGACATGGCGTCGCCCGGATATAACCTGAGAAAAGAACCCTAAGCAATCACAAACCAAACTTACTCATCTAAAAGAGAGAGAACACGTCAAATTAGATATATATATATATATATATATTTATCAAGAATTTGATATTATTTATTGTCTTATGCTCAATGTCAGAAGATTGAGCAAAATATATACTTTTTCACCGCCGATTGATCGAATCTTGCCATCAGCAGTAGGGCTATAAACTCGCAAAAACTCTACTGACAAGCTAAACTTGATGCCATTTGCATATTCCACATCTACCTGAATTCATTTTTCAAAATGACAAACGAGAATTTCTGTACGAGGATAGATATACAATCTATAAAGCATGAATAAAAAAATTGACCATCATTGCCACTTAAAAAAGAGATTAAGCAATATATATTTCTAATGAATCATTAATGAAAGCTGATAAACATGGTCAATCAACCTATGTTACATGAGTGCAATTATCGAATAACGATGACTGCAACATAATGGAGTTACAATAATCAAATTTGAATCATTCAATTCCCAATTTACTTCTTGATATATATGGAGAGAGGTAGGATCCAATTACACATTGTAAACGTGTTAGTTTTACACTGATTTAATTGACGACTGAAATTAAAAATTGAAAACAAAGAGATTTTTACTGAAAAAAGAAGTGAATAATCTCATTATCAATTTACATTCATCTAATGATACTAAATACAAAACTTTATAGTTTTTACATTGAATAAATAGATCATATCCCCACCTCCACACCACCACCACCACCACACACAAAGATATATACTTATATAAAGAAAAACGCAAATTAACACGAAAGAAATTCAATAATTCGACAACTAAACTAATCTATAACCTTGGCAATTTTCTTAATCACCCAAATGATCATTTCCACTTCCAAATAGATAATATAAACCAAAAATCTAATGTGTGCTCAAAAAATTTATCTAGGTAAGATTATATACCTAAATTTAAAACCGAAAGAAATTAGAAAAAAAAAATACGAAAATAATAGGAAATTAAAAACATCCACTTTTGGGTGCGTTAAGAGAGAAGCTTTTGAGGCGCGGGGCATCAACGAGAGTGTGGATCCTTTGAATTGCTCTATGCATGGGAAATAAACAATGTTGGACCTGATCCTTACTTTTGTTGGACATTTTTGGCCCATTATGTTTAATATTTTAGGCTATTATTGGGCTTCATTTGTCATTAGTTTTCTTCATTTCCCTTTTATTTTAGGCTTAATCTAAAAATAAGTGTCTAAACTATACTCAAAATTAAATTTAACTGCCTAACATTTTCAATGTTACACTATTAGGTGTTTGGACCGTTACTGCAATTAAATTTGATCATTATCTCACATAAAAGATTATTAAAAAAGGCGCTTAATATTATAATTAAAAAAACCCCATTATTTTTGAAATTATTAAAAAATCGATATTATTTGTTTCCTCCACTGTCGATCAACCACCTCCGGTCCATAGTCGCAACCATTAACTCCATCAAAATTGTTTTGTCACCGCATCAAAACCCAATCTCCCACCTACTATGAAACTGTGTCGATCGTTATGAAAAGTGTCGTAAAGGGTCATTAAATTCTAGGTTTTCCTTTGTAGTTTTTTGGCGATTCCGACGGCTCCTACTTTTTAGTGCGTTACATGGCCACCACCATTGAATTCCTCCTCTTGCTTCGAACAAAATCTAGTGGTGGTGACCCTTTGTCATTGGAAGTGGGGGGATGAAAGGGAGAGAAAGCATGGAAGGGGGAAGAGGATAGCATTGGGGGTTTGATTTTTTATTCTGACACAAGTAAATCTAATGGCAGTAACAATTCATGCACATAAAACCCCCCAATATTATTTGTTTTCTCCATCTTCGATCAACCATCGTTGGTTTGTGGCCGTCACTGCTAACTTCATTAGAATCGTCTCGCCACCACAATCAAAACTTAGTTTTTCACCCACTGTGAAACCGCATCGATCATCGTGGAAAGCGTCACAAAGGGTCATTGAAATTCTAGGTTTTTCTTTTGTTGTTTTTGGTGATTCCAAAGGCTTCTACTTTCAGTGAGTTACATGGCCACCACCATTGAGTTCATCGCCCTGCTCTAAATAAAATCCAGCTGGTGGTGACCCTTCGCCATTAGAGGTGGGGGATGAGAGGGAGAGAAAGCATGGGTGGGAGAAAAGGATGATCTTGTTGTTTGATTTTTTTCTTTTTTAAATAATATTTTTTGTTTTAAAAAAATAAAAAATATAAATGTGAAATGTGTAATATAATTTCCAAGTTTAATGGTGGTAACGGTTTAGACACTTAAAAATGTAACATTAAAAATGTTAGGCACCTACTTTTAATGAAAAATTCTTCAGATACCAATAGTTAATTTTTAGGTATAATTTAAGCATTAATTTTTGCATTAAGCCTTATATATATTTAGTATTTGAACTATATTTTTTTTAATTTTGGCACATCCAAAGTTTTTATTCACTTTAATCCATAAGTTATTAATTAGTCTAAATTCCTTAAAAAATAAAATAAAAAATTCATAAAAATGTGACGTGTTGTCATATTCCAATTTTGGGTTAAATTTTTTTATTAATGAAATTAGGGTTAACCAAAAGTTTATGAAAATTCGGTGCATATATGTTAATTTTTGAAAGTTCAAGGACCAAGTTTATAGTTATGCCATAAAATAGGTCATTTAAATACCTTATTTTTTCTCTCGTTCTTTTCTTTCCTATTTTCTTATTTTCTAGCCACCTAAAATTCTCCTTTCTTTTTGTCTTTGTGTTCAAATCCTTGTCATTTCATCGCCATACAGTCGACCGCGAGTCTCACTATAGGTACCATGATCGACTCGTTGTTCCCGTTCGTCCGGTGCCCTTGGTTCGTCGTTGTCGTTTGTAATCGAGAAAGAGTCAAACATTCGAGTTTCATTAAAAATCCAATCTCTATCTTTTTTTTTGGAAACCAACGTTTGTAAGTGACTCTTGGTGCTTTAAAACATTGTTCTGGATTTTTTTATGCAAAACCGACCACCGGATGGCGTCTCATGTGCCACTGTTACACGTGTAGGACTGTTTGCTACGGACTGATTTGACCCAGAATCAGTCTGGCCTTGAATCAGCCTTGAATCGATGTAATCTTGAATTGGCCTAAACCATTGACCAAGCCATTTGACCGAATTGGTTGACTGTTAATTTTTTTCGTTGACTTTTCTGTTGACCCCTAGCTTCATGTTTTTTGACATCCTAAGTTCATTCTCCTAGCCTATTTTTTCAAATGCTTACCCGAAAGTCCTATTTTATGTCATTTATTGCTTTAAGTTATAATTATCTTGAGTAAATTATAGGATTTTGAACTCACTTTTCCATATTATATACTAAAGGTGATTACGTGTCTCCACATCCTCTCTTGTAGATTTCGACTACCTCAGCTCAGTTACATTTTACATGTTTGACTTGGGATACACGTGAGTGTTGTATAGTAAAATAATAGTTTATTTTGGTTTAGATGTATTATTTTGGTACTCGTATAATAGTGTTATTTTTAGGTCCATATTCTACAAGACCTCATACTACCGATCGTGAGAAGCGTAAGACTTAACTGGTGTTATCTAGTTGATATAGATATGTCCCTTGATCCGTATTCTGTGATAATTTTCCATGCTATATTTCAGTTGATGCGATATTATTGGATTGTCTGAGTGTGTGATGGTTATTAATTATGATATCACACTTGTATGCTTTTGTTTGTTCGTTTTCTTGTTATGTTTATCACATTAGCATGTTCGATTCCTGATTTATGTGATTTATTTATAATCTGTAAATTGTTGAGTTTCTACAGTTTGACTGGGATCCTCTACGAGGGCTTAATTCTTATATTGTTTAGGTTTGAGATCCTCTACCAAGGGCAATATCCCTATCTCGTTTCTGTGTGGGAACCTCTATGGAGGTCTACATCTCCATCTTATCTTTTGTATTCCACTTTAGATACCTATTCGAAGTGTAACGTCCCCATCCTATTTTACATGTGACAAAAGGTAAAGTTGTGGGAATTTTCTGTTGTTCTGATAATGATCAACTAGTTTACCACTACTTGAGTTTTAATTTGCATTTTATGAGATGTCTGAACTTTTTTTTTTGTTATCAATATTTGATGTAATTAAAGGACACATTGAGCTTTATAGCTCATTATTTTGGTTTCTATCTTTTCAGATCCTTTTGGCCTTTAGGATTACATCTGATACTTAGAGGATCGATTGCTAAATCATTTCGTTGTATTCCGTATTTAAATTTTTAGACTTTGTATTCTTTATACAAATTTTTATCAGATTATATTGTTTGGGTGTTTTTGAGACTTTATGTTACTTTGATGAGTTTCGGTAGCATGCATTATTTTATGGGAACTCAGACTTTACTTTTGGGTTATGTAGACTTACTACTGCTACAAGTTACAAACTGAATCTATTTTGGGAATTTGGTATTTTGAAATAAATTTAGAATCGCAATGACTTTTGTCATTTTAAAACATGTGATCTCTGATATCTTGTCGTAACGTCTAGGCTAGGTTTAGGGAGTTATATTTAGTGGTATTAGAACTTAGGTTTAATTTTCGTACTTTATTACCTCTAAATATATATTATTCTGTAAAATAATTTTTTCATGCATCGAAAACATTTTGGGTATGGGAAATATTTTCTAAAACCTATTATGATTATAAATTTTTGTTAAATGATTTAATTTTATCTATTTTTAAATATAAAATTTGTATACAAGTTATTTTGATTTGAGATTTTAATACCAGATCTGACTTTAAGTTCTTCTTATATTCGATCTCAGACTCAGTAGATAGTATGCCACCTCATAGAGGTCAATGTCCTCTGTACCATCCCGTAAGGATGGTAACACTTCGGGCCATGGAGTTCAAGCGGTTGATATTGTTAAGGATCATCTAGTTCATATGGTTTAGACATCCGAGGGGCGTACTCGAGCGTCCAATTCTTTGTCCGATGGTCCAATTCTTCTGATTCGATGGAGCATACACCTGTCACTGAAGGCAAAACCACGAATGATTTGGAGGATGTTGATGTTGGTTGAGTATTATCATGATTACTTTAGAGATCAGTTGGGGTTCAGTCAGATGATATTATCGTTATTGTATTGTCTTTTATGTTTTGTAATGGAGCTGAGTATTTTAGATGGTTCATTGGAACATCCCTGTCTGTTGGGAAATATTGAATTGAGGAGTCCAAATGTCTTCTTAATGAGATGGATTACCCTGAATGATTGAGACTTCAAGCAGTCGTCTCACTGTTAAAAGATGACACCCTAAGTTGGTGGGATTCGGTTAAGATAACAACTCTGAGGGATTAACTGACTTATAAGTTTTTCCAAAAGGTTTTTCAGAGTCAGTTTGTTGGTAGTCGATATTTGAAAAAGCGAAAACATGAATTCATGGATCTAAAGTAGTGCGATATGATAGTTCAGGACTATGAGTTAAAGTTTTTATGCCTTAGTAAGTATACTACTGAACTGATCACTACATAAGAAGGTAAGTGCTTGTGGTTTAAGAAGGGTATGCATGTTGAAATTGGTAGTAGGGTGGCTGCTCATCATGAGCGGGAGTTTGTTAAGCTCATGGATCGAGCTAAAATTATCGAAGATATGGAAGATTTTAAAAGAGAACAACGTAATTGCAAAAGGAAACAATCAATTTATGAGGTTATTCTGATTTAATTTATTGTCATAGTAAACGTTTGAAGGATGGTATTTAAATATATGACTCTAAATCTAGGTTTGCTGCTTCTTCTGATCGGTTAAAGAGAGGGGTGTTTCTTTTGCACAGCGGATTATTTCTACTTATACTTCTTGTAGTAGGAAGCATAATAGAGAATGTTACAAGAAGTTATGAGCGTGTTTTAGGTGTGGCTCCATTGAGCATTTTATAAGGGATTGTTCAAAGCCTACTTCGATATATTAAACTTTTGTTCGTTCTCAAGGATCATCTCAGACACCGATGGATCGTAGCCAGAGTAGACTCACATCATTTAAATTTGCATTGGGTTCTTCCAGTAGGGGACGATTTGCTCAGGGTAAAGGTTCTATGAGGTCAGAGGCTAGGTAGCCTACATTTGTTTATGCTACGAGACATATTGAGGAGCGTACTGAGTCATACGTTATTACATGTACTTTTTCCAATTATTTTGTTTATTATTTTGTATTGTTTGATAGTGGGTCTACGCATTCTTATGTTGCGAGTTCTATTACACACAATCTTGAAATCCCAATTGAGTCAACCACATGTTTTATTATTGTTCAATCTCTTAAGGGACAATCTATAATGGTTGATAAACTCTATCAAAACTTTCAGCTTGAGCTATGTATAGAGACCTTTTCAGAAAACCATATGAAACTCTTGTTGGATAAGTTCAATCTTATTATTGGTATTGATTGGTTGAAGAAGCATCAAGTTAATATGAACTACGAATGTAAAAGAACAATTTTGAAGATTTTTGATGATAGGGATATTATTTTGATCGGTGAGTAATAATTATATGTCGAATGTGATATCATCCTTGGTAGTTGAGCAAATGATTCGAAAGGGTATTGTAGCGTACCTTGTTTATATTCTGGGTACACGGAAGTCTACGTTTGGAATTGAAAAGATTCATACTGTGATAGACTTTTCAGATATCTTCCCAAAAGAGTTTCCTGATGTATCGTCTGAGAGGGAAGTAGAGTTCGAAATTAAACTATATTCGGGTACCATACTAGTGTTGCTGAGTTAATCGATCGATGGAAGCGGCCAAGAGGGGGGTGAATTGGCAATTAAAATTTTGGTGGAAGCTTTTGCAGAAAAATGAAAGTAATTGCACAATGATTTAGAGTGGTTCGACTTTCTCAATCAAAGTCTACGTCTATTACCTTAGCTATCCACACTAAGGATTTTCCAACAAATTCACTAATTTGTTATTTCTTTTGAGGCCAAAGAGATAACCTTACAACTCCCTCAAGAATATACCCCAATTCTTGAGAACACTCTTTCTCAAAGAGAATATTACAAATTTGCAAACTTACAAGGAAATCCTCACAAGGTAGAATGTTTGCACAATTCTAGAACAAAGAAAAGAAACTAAAAAATGAATACAATTGAGTACAAATAGTGTTCTTGAAAGCAAAATGAATATTGAATGAAAAATAGGCTTGAAATGCTCAAACTTGAGGTTTGATGCTTTCTCTTTGATTCTCTCTTGATTCTAGTTGATTGTTGTTTCTTATTTTTAATCAATGGCTTCTAAGCTTGTTTAAATATACCTTTAAATGATTCTGAACGTTGGGGATGATTAGTGGAGTCAATAGAGCCGTTTTAGTGTGAAATCAATTAATAAAACAGCTTGGAGCGTGGGGGGAATCGGTACCCCCTCATGGGGAATCGGTTCCCTAAGTGTAAAATTCAAATATTTCGACCGTTAAACAGGGGGGAATCGGTTCCTTCCGAGCATTCTGTTTTTCTTGGAGCCAAACCATTCAGGGGGGAATCGGTTCCCTTTGGACATTCTGGAATTTTTGGCTTTGAAATGGTTCGAAATATTTTGTAAAATTGTTTTGAAATTATTTTAAGTTTAAAACTTAATTTTACACTTGAGTAAGGATTAAAAATTACATTTGAAATATTTGGAGTAATATTTTGATATTCGAATAATTATATCGAATATACTTAGAAAATCTTTTTGGAAAATCTTAAAATTTATTTATCTTAATTTGTTATATCGAAATATCAAAATGTTTTCAACAATCTCCCCCTTTTTGATATAACAAAACATTTTAGTAATTTTAAGATTTTGAAATCAAGTTTTGAAATTACTTCCCCTTACTATAACACTTATCCCCTTTAAAACACAACACTTTAACTTTTCTCCCCCTTTTTGTTAAATCAAAAAGACTTTTAAAAGATTTTAAACAAGGTTTTGAAATCATTTAGCCAATTGATGATAAAATATATATAGCTTAAGCTGCTAAGATCACAATCAAGAGAAACGTTAGCCATTAGTTTCATAATCAATATTCATAAACAAAGCCATTAGTTTCATAATCAATATTCATAAACAATGTGACATGGAAAAATTGGTCATAAATCTAACATGATGTAAATGATACAATAATGAATAAATTTAACCACACCAAACATATAGAAATATAAGTTCAAACCATCCATAAATCCAAACAAATTCAAAGTCAAATAATCCACAAATTCAAACATTCCAAAATATCCAAAATGTTAAAATAATAAGTTTGAAGTTTTGATCCAATAAAACTAAGCAAGAACAGGGCCTAATCGTCTATCGGTACATTAGGAGGAGATAAATGTGACCAAATATTGGTCACATCACGTGAAAGTGCATCGACCCTTTCATCCAACGAATCAAAACGACGATTCATCATTTCAGTGGTAGCGGTCAGATTTGAATCGATAGATGCAAGCCTCAAATCAATGTTCTCCATAAAAGATAGGAAGTATGGAGGCATTTGATACTCTGGACGAGGTTGTTCCTCTGGAGGTGCTTGTTCCTCGTGCTGCTCCGACTTATTGTCGGAGTCGTCTTCTTCCGGAGGTTGCTCACCGTTATAAATCCAAAGACCAGTTTCTTCATTGATCTTCCATCCCGATTTAGTTAAAGAAAATAGATTGATTTGGTTTTTGAGGGGAAAGGAAGCATCAAGACCAACTCTAAACCCAACCTTCTTAAACAGATTACTAATAATACAACCGTAAACTAAAGAAGAACATAATTTCTTATTGGGAACAAGATTTACGGTTTCGACAAGTTCAACAAAAATAATATGTGGAAGGTTAATTTTGAACACAATGAAGCCAAAATAGATCTAAGGCTCAAAGAGTAGAGTAACGGCCTCCGGATGGTCGAAACCACCAAGAGATCATTAGGTGAAGAAAACGGTCATGAAGGTCTAGAACACTTGCATTATCCGTTCGCTTATACTGAGATCCTACTGTAAGTTTTTCATTGTATAACCCTTCATTATTTAATCCTAATGCTTTGACAATGGATTCCGAGTCAAGATGAAAGAAACGTCCTAGAAGATAGGATCGGATCCCTATGGTTAAGGTTTTCTCTCGGTTTTTAATGCAAACGACATTAGAGTAAAAGATACGAACAAGTTGATGGTAGACAATTGGTTCAAGCTCGAAGAGTTTGTCAAATTTCCACTAATGAAGAGTAGGAAGATGACGAAAATTGATGTCTAACATGGCTTGAAGAGATGTGATTCGTTCTTACCAGATTTTTTAGGATTCAAAGTATTGACAAAACCTAAAGTAGATATTTTGTTTACGACCAGGTTCATTGAAACAAGAATTGCGAATGGTCATGTTTGGATCATCGGGATTAGGAATAGGAATTTGTGGGATAGGTGGAGGATTTGGAGGTGAGTTTGGAGGTTGGCTAGAACGACTAGAGGAAGCCCTAGAACGTTTATGAGACATGATTTAAGATAATCAGAATGGAAAGATAACCTGCAATTTTAAAAACATATGTATACAAAATAATCAATCCCAAAACTCAATTGAGTCCTTAATATTTCAAAGTTCTTTATACCAATCCTAATGGGCAAAGTTTTTGAAAACTATTGAAAAATAAGGTTTTGAGAATCAATATACATATAGTTTTCATAATAACATAATTAAATAAAAAACACAACAATTTGAAAATATAATTTTTTTAAATTTCAAAAATTTTCAAAATCTTTGAAAATTCTTGTGTTTTTGATGAAATTAGTTATAGAATCGAGTTTCTAATCACTAAACAATCAATGCCCGATCTAAAGTTCAACCTAGAACTAATTAAAACTAGTTCTAAAATAAAAAATTGATGAAATAGAAGTTTTAGAAAAATACCTTGAAGAATTTCGGATTTGAGTGAGATTAGATGAACTTTGCACGTTTTTGATGATTCCAACAGGTTTAGGAGATGATATTTGAAGAGAATTCTGATTAAAAACGTTGTTTTGATGAAATATGGAGATAGTGAGAGAGTATAGAGGAGAAACGACGTGAAGAGAAGAAGAGAGGGTTTGAGGTGTTCTGCCCGTGTTAAAAACCAGAACCCAGGGGGGTATCGATCCCTCTGCACTAATGTGCTAAAATCTAATTTTTAAACACTCAAAATGCTAAATTAATTTTCTCTAGTGGTATTGGAAACTCATATATTGAAAAGTAATCATGTTCAATCAATCAAATTTATCATTAAAAATTATTTGAACATAAAGTTAATTTTCACCAAAAATCATAAACTCCTCCTAACTAAAAGCAATGAATAAAAAATGGATGTCCCTTGTTCCCATATGTAATGGGGTAAGGGGGAGGTAAGATAGTAGGTTACCCCCAACACTAGGTTGAGAGCAGCTTCCGTAGAAGACCTCCAAATTATGAAATGCCCTCCATGAGACTCGACCCCACGACCTCAAGGTTAAGAACCTTGTGCTCTACCAACTGAGCTGGATGGGTTAGTTAAAATTATTTTAAGCACTAAGTGAAGATAGATTAGTTAAACCTAATTCTCTCCTAAGTGTCCAAAAACGTTCCTTGTCTAAAGGCTTTGTAAAGATATCCGCTAATTGATGCAAAGTATCAACAAATTCTAGAACTACATCTTCCTTAGTGACATGGTCTCTAATGAAGTGATGTCTTATTTCAATGTGCTTAATTCTAGACTGTTGGATGGGATTTTTAGTGAGACAAATAGCACTAGTATTGTCACACTTGGTAGGAATGGTACCTACTTCAATTCCATAATCAAAAAGTTGTTGTTTTATCCATAAAACTTGTGCAACACAACTACCGGCTGAAATATATTCCGCTTCAGTGGTAGATAATGCAACACAATTTTGTTTCTTTGAAAACCAAGAAATCAATATATTTCCAAGGAATTGGCAAGTACCGGAGGTGCTTTTCCTATCTAATTTGCATCCTCCATAATCCACATCAGAAAAGGCATGCAAGCTAAAGCTAGAGTCTCTAGGATACCAAAGTCCTAAACTAGGAGTGTTCTCAAGGTATCTAAAGATTCTCTTAACAACTAGTAAATGTGATTCCTTAGAGCATGATTGAAATCTAGCACATAAGCAAACACTAAACATAATATCCGGTCTACTTACAGTTATATAGAGCAAAGAACCAATCATTGACCTATATAATTTAACATCCACACATTTACCTCATTCATCCAAGTCAAGCTTTGTAGAAGAGCTCATTGGAGTGTCATGAGGTTTCCCATTTTCCAGTCCAAACTTTTTGAGCATATCTTTGACGTATTTAGCTTGATTGATGAAGATGCCATCTTTTCTTTGCTTGATTTGGAGTCTCAAGAAAAATGAGAGCTCCCCCATCATGCTCATCTCGAATTCGCTTTGCATTAGCTTAGAAAATTCTTGGCAAAGAACATCATTAGTAGAACCAAATATTATATCATCAACATAAATTTGAACTACTAATAAATCTTTACCTTTATGCTTTAAAAACAATGTAGTGTCAACCTTCCCTTTTGAAAAACCTTTTTCAATTAAAAAGTTTGACAATCTTTCATACCAAGCTCTAGGAGCTTGTTTTAAACCATAAAGTGCTTTTGTCAATTTAAAAACATGATCCATAATTTTTGAATCTTCAAAACCTGGAGGTTGTTCCACATACACTTATTCTTTAATAAAATCATTTAAAAATGCACTTTTAACATCCATTTGATATAATTTAAATTCATGAAAACATGCAAATGCTAATAACATTCTAATTGCTTCCATCTTAGCTACGGGAGCGTATGTTTCATCATAGTCTATGCCCTCTTCTTGAGTATACCCTTGAGCAACAAGTTTAGTCTTGTTTCTCATTATATTACCACTATCATCAAGCTTATTCCTAAATACCTATCTAGTACCTACAATAGATTTATTACTAGGCCTTTCAACTAGTGTCCAAACTTTACTTTTCTCAAATTGATTTAACTCTTCTTGCGTAGCCATAATCCAATGTTCATCATTTAATGTTTCTTTAATATTCTTAGGCTTTATTCATGAGATAAATGCAACATAATTACAAATATTTCTAAGAGAAGATCGAGTTGTTACCCCTTTGGATGGATCACCTATGATTTCACCATCCTTGACATAGTTGTACTCTCTTGGGTAAGATACTTCCCTTTCTTCAATGGTTGGATTTTTGAGAGGATCATGAGTTTCCTCATCTTTCATTTCTTCCTTTGATGATGATTCTCCAACGTCATGTCTAACGTCATTTGTATTTATAATACCTACATCATCATTTAAACAAGAATCCTTCCTCGGAAGGAGATTATCATCGAAAAAAACATGTATAGACTCTTCTACAACTAAAGTTCTTTTATTAAATACTCGATAAGCTTTAGAACTTAAGGAATAACCCAGAAAAATTCCTTCATCACTTTTAGCATCAAATTTGCCAAGATTGTCTTTACCATTATTTAAAACAAAACATTTACATCCAAAAGGATGAAAATAGCTAATGTTAGGCTTTTTATTTTTAAAAATTCCATATGGAGTTTTCTTCAAAATAGGCCTAATCATTACTCGATTAATAACATAACAAGCAGTATTTGTGGCTTTTGCCCAAAAATATTTTGGCAAATTATTTTCACAAAGCATGGTCCTAGCCATTTCTTCTAAAGTTTGATTTTTCCTTTCAACAACTCCATTTGTTGAGGGGTTCTTGGTACTGAAAAATTATGACTAATACCATTAGAATTACAAAATTCAGTAAATCCAAGATTTTCAAATTCAGTTCCATGATCACTTCTAACACTAGTTATAGAGTAACCTTTTTCGTTTTGGATTACTTTTGAAAACGTGATGAATTTTTCTAATGCTTCATCTTTAGTACTTAAGAATAGAACCCAAGTATATCTAGAATAGTCATATACCAAGACAAATGCATATTGTTTTCCACCCAAGCTAGTAGTTCTAGATGGCCCAAAAAGATCTAAATGGATCAATTGCAATACTCTACTAGTTGATACATAATTAATGGATTTAAAAGAAACTCGCTTTTGCTTTCCTTTAGCACAAGCATCACATATTTTATCATTATCAAATTTCAGTTTAGGCAGCCCTCTTACTAAGTCTCCTTGAATTAATCGTTGCAAAACACTCATACTAGCATGTCCTAGTCTCCTATGCCATAACCAACTATCATGCTCATCCTTAACAACTAGGCATAAATTAGTCATATCAATAGAGTCTAAATGCACCATGTATATGTTTCCTATTCTATGACCAACAAGCATATTAGATGCAATGTCAATAACTTTACAACCATTGGTTTCAAACATGACATTGAATCCTTTATCACATAATTGACTAATACTCAAAAGATTATGCTTTAATCCATTCACATATAAAACATTCTTAATTTGTATGGAAGAGGTATTACCTATAGTGCCTATACCTTCAATGTGACCTTTTGAGTTATCACCAAAAGTCACTTCTCCTCTATTTTTGGCATTAAGCTCAATAAATCGGCTTTTGTCCCCGGTCATGTGTCTCGAGCATCCACTATCAAGGTACCATGAATTTGAATTTGTTTCCCATGCCTTGTAGCAATGCTCCTTTTCCTACAAACATAGATTAATTTCTAATTTTTGGTACCCAAATTCTTTTGGATCTATATTCATTAGTTTCCAAAATCCTAGTCCCCTTAGGTATCCATTTGTGTAGGATATATTTATCTTTAGTAATAGTCCTTTAGGAACCCATATACTTCTAACGATTTTTCTATTAGAGGTTATTCGGGGACCTCTATGATTGTAGTTTTTAAAACTTTTTCTAACAAAGTTGGATTTTAAATTTTCTCCTTTTTCAAAACGTTTTGTTCAAACTTTATCAAAAGAAGCTTTAAGATCATCAATTTTCTTTTGATGATCATCATTGACCTTTGAAAGTAAATTTTGCAAATCCAAAATTTTCTTTTCAAACTCTTCTAGTTTGATTTGCAAATCTTTGATTTTACTTTCAAGATCGTTGTTGGTTTTGGATATGAGTTTATTTTTATTTTTCAATTTTGAAACATCATTTTTATATTTTAAAAACAATTTCTCATAATCCGAAGCCAACCCATTATATTCCTCTAATAGCTCATCATAAGATAAATCATCAAATTCAGATGAGTTAGAGGTTACCTTAGAATCTTCCTCGAATGCCATCAAGCACAAGTTTGCTACTTCTTGTTCCTCTTCATCGGAACCTTCTTCATCACTCCATGTAGCCACATGATCCTTGTGCTTATTCTTTGATTGACCCTTTCTATTCAAGTGTGGGTAATCATATTTGACATGCCTAAACTTTTTGCATTCATAGCAAATGATCGGGTCCTTCTCTTTTGGTTCATTTTTGAGGCCTTCATTTCGTTTGAATTTTCTTCCTCGGTAAGGTCTCATCATTTTTCTGAACCGTTTGGCAAACAATGCCATTTCCTCGTCATCGTCATCTTCATCAGAATCACTCTCTTTTTTTGTGGATTTGAGAGCAACTCCAATATTTTTCTTCTTCTCCTTCTCCTTTGGTGTCTCTTCAATCTTATCGAGGTCCACCTCATCTTCAAGCATCATTTCATGAGTGAGAAGGGAACCGATTTGCTCTTCAAGAGTTAAGGACTTTAGGTTCTTAGCCTTGATGATTGCAGTCTTCTTGGATTGCCATGATTTTGGAAGTGAGTAAACTAACTTCCTCACAAGCTTTTCGTTTGGAATGATCTCTCCATATGATTTGAGACCATTGACAATCGTTGAGAATCTATCTTCATAGCTTTGATATCTTCATTTGGTTTCATCCTGAAATTTTTATAACTATGTGTTAGAAGACTAATTTTAGATTCTTTTACCTCGTCGGTGCCTTCAAGAGTGACTTGTAGTTTATCCCATATTTCTTTGGTGGTTGTACAAGATGAAACTCTTCCATATTCATCTGGTCCAAGAGCACAAAATATGATATGGATGGCTTTGGAGTTGAGCTGGAACATTCTTGTCTCTCATTCACTTCACAATCTTGGATGAGTGAGAGGCTTGATATATCCGACTTCTACAACATTCCATGCTCCCATGTCACTGGCTTGAATTAAATACATCATCCTATTCTTCCAATAGACATAGTTAGCTCCATTGAAGAAATGAGGCTTGTTGACGGGCATCGAATCGAGACTGGAGTCGACGTTTGAAGTGGAGCCATTGATGACTTTGATTATCGATGTAACTCTTCCCGAATCGACTCAAGAGGCGATTAAACCTTCAAATGAGTTAGGCTCTGATGCCAATTTTTGAGTTAATCGATCGATGGAAGCGGCCAAGAGGGGGTGAATTGGCAATTAAAATTTTGGTGGAAGCTTTTGCAGAAAATTGAAAGTAATTGCACATCGATTTAGAGTGGTTCGACTTTCTCAATCAAAGTCTACGTCCACTACCTTAGCTATCCACACTAAGGATTTTCCAAAAAATTCACTAATTTGTTCTTTCTTTTGAGGTCAAAGAGATAACCTTACAACTCCCTCAAGAATATACCCTAATTCTTGAGAACACTCTTTCTCAAAGAGAAGACTATAAATTTGCAAACTTACAAGGAAATCCTCACAAGGTAGAATGTTTGCACAATTCTAGAACAAAGAAAAGAACACTAAAAAATGAATACAATTGAGTACAAATAGTGTTCTTGAAAGCAAAATGAATATTGAATGAAAAATAGGTTTGAAATGCTCAAACTTGAGGTTTGACGCTTTCTCTTTGATTCTCTCTTGATTCTAGTTGATTGTTGTTTCTTATTTTTGATCAATGGCTTCTAAGCTTGTTTAAATACACCTTCAAATGATTCTGAATGTTGGGGATGATTAGTGGAGTCAATAGAGCCGTTTTAGTGTGAAATCAATTAATAAAATAGCTTGGAGCGTGGGGGGAATCGTTACCACATCATGGGGAATCGGTTCCCTAAGTGTAAAATTCAAATATTTCGATCGTTAAACAGGGGGAATAGGTACCCCCTTGGGGGGAATCGGTTTTCTCCGAGCATTATGTTTTTCTCAAAGCCAAACCATTTAGGGGGAATCGGTTCCCTCTGGACATTCTGGAATTTTTGGCTTTTAAATGGTTCGAAATGTTTTGTAAAATTGTTTTGAAATTATTTTAAGTTTAAAACTTAATTTTACACTTGAGTAAGGATTAAAAATGACATTTGAAAGATTTGGAGTAATATTTTGATATTCGAATAATTATATCGAATATACTTAGAAAATCTTTTTGGAAAATCTTAAAATTTATTTATCTTAATTTGTTATATCGAAATATCAAAATGTTTTCAACAAGTGTCCATGTCACCTTATTACATGTCACTTAAAGAATTGAGAGAGTAAAAGGTTCAATTGTAATATTTGTTGGATCGAGGTTTTATTCATCCTAGTACTTCTCCATTGAGGGCTTCAGTGCTCTTTGTTAAGAAGAATAATGTAATGTTGTGCTTGTACATCCATTATCGGAAGCTGAATAAGTCAATAATTAAAAACAAATACCCATTATTGTGCATTGACGATTTGTTTGATCAATTCCGTCATGTAATTATTTTCTCTAAAATTAATCTTCGATCTTGCTATTATCAGCTTAAAGTGAATGACTCTAACATTCTGAAGATAGCTCTTCATACTTGATATGGTCATTATGAATTCTTAGTGATGTCATTCGGGTTGACTAATTTCCCTAATACTTTCATGGATATGATGAATCAAGTGTTCCAACCATATCTAGATCAGTTCGTCGTTGTTTTTATCAACAATGTCCTTATTTATTCAAAGTTTGAGGTTGAACACAGTGAGCACTTGAGGGTTGTTTTACAGACCTTGAAGGAAAATAAACTTTATGTGAAGTTTTATAAATGTGAATTATGGCTTAGCAAAGTAATAATTTTAGGTCACATTATTTTTGCATAAAGTTTTTCTATTGATCCGAAGAAGATTGAGGCTATCCTTAATTGGAAGAAATCCAAGTATGACAAATATCTGTAGTTTTATAAGCTAGGAAAGTTATTATCAAAGGTTTGTCTAGGGATTTTCTATGATTGCATCTCTTTTGACAAAACCTTTAAGGAAAAATATGCCCTTTGTTTGGAATGAGACTCAACGGTGGAGTTTTGAGTAGTTGAAATCGATTATAACTTAAACTCTAATTTTGATTCAACCAGGGTCTGGAAAGGATTATATAGTTTATGGTACATGATTCCCACACTGTTTTAGGTTCTTTTCTAATACATGATAGGAGAGTAGTAGCTTATGTACCTCGTCATTTAAAGTTGTATGAGTGTAACTACCCTACTCATGATCTAAAGTTGGTTGTAATAGTGTTTTAACCGAATATCTAGAGACACTATCTTTATAGAGAGAAGTGTTATATTTATATCGATCACAAAAGTCTAAAATATTTTTTGACTCAAAAAGATCTTAATTTGAGACAACACCACTGGTTAGAGTTCCTAAAAGATTATGATTTTGAGATTGAGTATCACTTTGAAAAAAGGCTAATGTAGTTGTTAATGCTTTGATTCGTATAACTACTAATTTGAGGGCTATGTTCGCTAGTATGATGATCGTGCCTTATTTGTTAAACTTCGGGTTATGCTTACTTTGGCGACTGAGATCAAGTCAAAACAACCTTTCGATGTATCATTGCTTCTATTTGTAAAGTGAGCTGAACAAAGTCCTAATTTTAAATACACATTCGATGTTGATAGTGTATTATGCTTCAAAGACATTACTATATGCCAAATGATCGTGAGTTTTGACATATTATTTTGTGGAAAATTCATAATATTCCTTAATTATGACCCGCTCTGATACTAATTATTGGGATACTTGAGGCTCTATAAATAACTGAAAAAGTTTAAAGAGGAGTGAATTTGTCTTTTAAAAAATTTGGATGTGGAAATAAAAGGATAGGAAAATTTGCACAAAGATTTATAGTGATTCAACTTTGTCAATGAAGTCTACATCCACTACTTTAGCTCCACACTAAGGATTTCTAACAAATTCCCTAATTTGTTCTTTCTTTTTTTATGCTCAAAAGTTACTTGATGAAGATGTATTATAATTTTAGAAAAAGGTTGAACATCAATTTATGTCTGGCTTACTTCAACCCATTCAGATTTCAAAGTGAAAACGAAAACGAGTAACTATGGATTTTGTTAGTGGGCTGCCTTTGACGCAGTCCAAGAAGAATTCGATCTGGGTTATTATTGTTCGTTTTACTAAGTTTATGCACTTCATTCTAGTTTGGACTAGTTATACTCTGCATAAATTGGCTTGATTGAATATTTATGAGATTATTCGCCTTCATGGAGTTCCCTTATCTATCATTTCTGATCGAAATTTGATGTTTACATCATGGTTCTAAAAGGCTCTTGATCATGTTTTGGGTACTCGATTAAATTTTAGTAAAGTTTATCACCTGTAGTTTGATAGACAATCTGAGCGGGTTATTCGGATTCTGAAAGATATATAACACCTCTAATTTACCCTAATTTAAAACCCTAAGATTTGGAAATTTTTCGTAAGTCCTAAAATCAATTTCGGTGACCGAATTGTAAGTATCAATAAATCAGCATCTTTTTTTCAAAAAGCTTATAAAGTTCAGGGATCAACCTTTTAAGTAGACCACAAATTGCTTTAATCCAATTCTAGCTCTTCTTCCTTTCCCGCGCGTCCGCTCCTTATTTCTTCCTTCTTCATTTTATTTTTTTCCTTCACAAACCCTAACAGCCGCCGTTGTTTCCCCTCATTACTCCATCATCATCTGATCGTAGGTAAGTTACCAGTGACGATCCTTCAATGTAACCCTTTTCTTTCTTTCCCTTTTGCCTCACAGTACTCCGTCGTTTAGGATCTGCTAAGGGAAGGACGGAGGTCCTCTCGTCGTTGTTCACAGCGTCACAACCATTGTAGCATTCGGCTGCCGTACCCTCTTCGTTAAAGGCCTTTTTAGCCTGAATTGTCTTTTGGTCAGCCTTGGCAAGCTGTCTGAGCACACTGCTGCCCCTTCACTGTCGTTGTCCCCACCTTATGATTGTGTAGTCATCGTCACTGGTCATGGTTGTTGCCATTAGTCCCCTAGTCAGCCGATCGTGGGGGTAGCTGACTGACAGTTCCTTTTCTTAATCTGACAGCCCCCATTATTCGATCTAGCGATCTCATATTTGAACCAAAAGCCCCTTCTGTCGACTTTTGATTCGAACCGAAAAATTTACTAATGTCGTTAGATTAATCGAATAATTTGGAAATTTAGTATGAGAAATTAAAACTAGTCATCATAATTTTTGCAAGAGAAATCGAGCCAAGATCTATATTATCACCCCTCCACCGTTACCTGTGAATTTTGAGTCGAGTCATATAGACTGTGTGTGATAGTTGATACTTTTAGTTGCGTGGTTTTCTTAGTTATTTAGATTATTAACTTATTTATTAAATTATTTCGTAAGTTTTGATTCGGGTCATCCACTGCTCGAGTTTATAGTGGTAGACGCTACGACCGTCATTAGTTATTTTGTCTAGTTGCGTCTCTATCTGACGCTATATTTTATTGTGATTTATCTGGTTGTTTGGTGTATTGATTGTCGATTATAATGTGACCTGTAATTGTCTAGCTTATACTTCGGTTATTGTTATGTAAAATTTGATAATATGCCATAACTCGGAAATATTATTTGTTGAATGTTGAACTGACAGACTTAAATCTGTGATGTGTAAAGCATGTTGATTTATCATATGTGTAAACACTAATTTTTTCATATTGTTTTTATTATTATTAATTATTATTATTATTATTATATATATTATTAATATTATTAAATAAAAAATACAGACCGACCCATTTACAACCAGGCCCAACCCTGACCCAACAGTGACCAAACACGGTGGCCCAGTTCCAAAAGCCCAGATGATAACCCTAAACCCTTCTAGGGTTACAACATATTCTCCAGCCGCTATCCACCATTAGCCGTTGGATCTATCAAGATCCTACGGTCCAGAGATATCCAGCAAGAAACCCTAGGGTTATGATACCCTAGGGACTACAGCCGCCGCCTCTGCTGCCAAATGCTCCAACCAACCATTGACGACGGCCAGCCGCCCCACGTCAACACCTTCTGCCGCCCGACGAAACCTCCAGAAGGCCAGCTGCCCCTCCACGTCGCTTGCTTTATGGTGAGTCACCACCATAGCTATGGTGACTCACCGAGGCTCAACCCTTGTGACCAGTCCGAGGGCATCACCGATAATGGCTATAAAAGCCATCGACTAACCTGCAAAGAAAAAAAGGAAGAAGAACGAGAGTAAGATAGAAGAACCTGAGGACAATAACAACACATAGACAGCAGAACAAAAACCAACAGAGAGCAACGAGAGAAAAAAAAAGCAACCAAAAGCACTATACGAACCAATATACACCAAAAAAAGAGAGAACCAGCAAAAGAGAAAAGAGAACAGAAGCTTACTGAGGAAACTATATAATCATCAGAGCGTTCCACGCGTCCTCACACTCTGCCGAAGAAACGAAAAATCGAAGGTAGTAATCGTAGATTTACTACGTTTGGTGGGGTTTTAGGTTAAAACAACCTCAAAACAGGTTTTAGGACTTTGAGATCTATATTTTGGGGTAGGTTAGAAAAATTCGGCCACCGTCGACGATTATCGCCGAAGCACAGCGGCCGGTGAGTGGCCATCTCTCTTCCTTGATGAGTGTATTTAGAGAGAAGGGGGAGAATCTCTCAGTTAGAGAGAGAATGAGAGAAGAAAGAAATGAGAAATGACCATTATGGCCGACCATAAAGGGTTTAAATACCCCATCCCAAACGACGCCGTTTTGGGGAGGGGTATATGCGTAATTTCACTACTGGTCAAACCCTTTCCGCAGTACCCATAGTTTTGTAATCTTCTATTTTAGTCACTGAAATCTATTGTTGAGTCTTTTAATTGGTTTCTTAATTTTAGTTTATTATAATTTAGTCCTTAAACATAATTATATATATTTTAGGTAAAATAACCGAATTAGCCATTATAATTTTGTTAAATAATGTTTTAGTCCCGGACAACATGTTTTAATTTATTTTAATTTAATATTCGAATTTGATATAAGTTTATTTTAGTTCCTAAATTAAATAAATGTAAAATAACATGTTTAGTCTCTGTAATTTTAAATAAAAAAATGAATTAGGGTATCTAATTTTAATATAAATTAGTCACTAGTTTTAATATTTTAATTTATTTTTAATTAAAAATTTTATTGTTTTTAAATATATAAGTTTTAATTTTATTTATTCATTGTTTAGTTATATTTTAATTTTATATGTTTATTTTTAATTAATTATTATTACTATTATTATTATTATTTAGTCATATAAATATATATATATATATAATAAATAATATTTATTTATTTATTTTATTTATTTTCTATTAAAATCCTATTTTTAAATTTAATTTTATAAATTACTTTTAAATTATTTTAATCATGTTTTAATATTTATTTTTCAATATTAAGAAAGGACAGTCTTAAAGCAACTGGATGTCCATTTTCTGATATTCTTAAATAAATAAATATCTTATTTTTATAAATTATATATATTAATTTATTTTAATTATTTTTAGAGAAATGTTTATTATTTATTTATTTTTAATATTAAGAAATGGATTGTCTTAAAGCACCTAGAAGTCATTTTCTGATATTTCTAACTAAATAAATATCTTATTTTTATATAAATATTTTCTTAAAATTATACTAATAAATTTGAGATAATAAGATTATGAATTAAATATTTGAATTCTTAAATTTTCAATAATAGAGACAATTTATAATTAATGAGTACCAATGTTGGACGTTATGGGGGTGCTAATCCTTCCCCAAACGTAATCGACCACGATCCTTTTTTATTATTAAAAAGAACGAATTTTTGGTTAAAACGCAGACCAATTTATCTTTTAACTGATGTTTTTTTAAAAACTCTTTTAAAAGATAATTTTTAGGTATTCAACCTACCTGACCCTAAAGGCCGATGACGACTCCCAAAACATTTTAAAAACCATTTATTCACATTATTTTTTCCG